GGTCTAAGTACGCCTATAATATAGGCTACAATTTGTATGATGATGGATCTAGGGTCTAGAAATAAAGTTATAACTGCAATTAGACTTAAAGTCTAGTACATTAGTTGGTGTAAGACATGATTTACAATCAGCCACTACAATTACAAACCAGTACATTAGGCCTATAATGTTTACTAGATCTAGATCTAGGCCTTGCCTGTTGCATATATTGCCAATCTTGCACACCAGTTAATATGTTACATCAATCTCGTATTTTCTTTTTGTTTAACATACACTTACTTGTACGTTGTACTCTAGGACTTGTATTTGATCTACAGATGAATGATGTAATAGTGTAATATACTTCTGTACGTCAATTCGGTCTCACTGTATTTCATTGGACGGCTTTTAAAAGTTAAAACTGCAAGCGTAATACACACAAATAACGTAACACTGTGTCATATTTACTTAACGTAGGACAGTTGCGGTATATCCTAGGGGAAGACATAATTATTATTTAATAGGCATTCTAAGCCAGAGGAAATTTTGCGCCCCTTCACACCTGCGCCCGGGGGCGACGGCCCCTTTGCCCCCTCTTGCTACGCCACTGAATGTCATGTCTCTGCACATAATGATTTATGCCATAATTTGTAGAATATGATATTTAAGTTCAGTCAATTAAGTTTTGTCGTTTCTTGCTTCCATAGAATATTTATAAATGTATATCATTTGAAACCAATTAAACAGTTTGCTTAGGTGCATACAAGCGAATACTTATATTATTATTAAATCAAGCAAGATTCTTAAAAAATAAAGCTGTTAAATATGATTGATAATAAATTCAAAGTTATCGAGAGTATCGTGGAAACAACAAATATAAAAAAAATGTTATATTAGGAAAACATCTATAAATAAACGCGGTAAAAAGATTAAATGAATACAAAAAGAAGCCCAATAACGGCTACAGCTTCTTATTAGTTTCGAATTTTGCTTTAAAGATGTTACTGGATTTAAGCTCCAAACTCGTTACTTTGGGGCTTATATTTTAAATCTAATATCAAACATACTTATTTGTTAAGATCGAATCACAAATAATATGGTGCTAAGGATTTGATTAATTTTAGACTACACAGCTCATTTTACACCATACATCAAGAACAGATGATAAGATTTATTAGTTTCCTCTGAATTTGGTTAAAAATGAGTTCCAATCTTTTTTATAAATATCCTAAATTAAAACGTTAATGTGTTTTAAAATTTTAAAAAATTAACTAAAATATAGTTGGGACTACAGTTATACCAAAACCCGCAGATTGTAGTTATAAAAACAGGCTTCTCTTATTTCATGGGAAATAATACTTAAGCAGAGAAAAAAAGACCAAACTTATTAATTACACAATTTCTAGTGAGCCAGGGATAGTTTGAAGGTTGAAAAGCAAAAACTCGCGTGAAAAAAAGACTGATATTGGTTTGTGATTTTTATTATTATTGTGCTTCAAAACTTTGCAATTATTAGAAAACGCAAAACAAAACTAAATTTGTAAAAAGTAAAATATTGCACACCATAAATGTATATGTACTTACTGTGATTTAATGCATTAATATAAAAAATATAAAGTTAAGATAATATCAGAGTGTTTGAAAAGTATATTTGCCCACATTTGTTTGTAATTTGTTTTTCTTCTACTGGTTAGAAAAAATATAATTATTTGGTTATATTGCCAAAACATATGTTTTTATTATTTGTGCAAGCATTAGAAAGCGACTAAAAAGCAGAGTACTCAAAAGTACAATGTTGGGATAGGTTGGTTAAATCTCTTTCTTAATACCACATTTCTGGTTGACTTTCTTTCTGGAAGCAGAATATGATATCTTGTTACAAAGACTAGAACAAACGCCGCTCTGCGGGCAACTGTTTGTGCTAATAATTACTAATCGTAGTATTCATATCTCATTGACAAAAAAATAGAAAAAGTGAACATTTTCTAAAAAAAAAAATATTTCTTTCTGGGAAATACTGCACGGGAAAAGTGTTCAGATTGTGTTCAGTCATACGCAACACATTGCATCAAAATGATTCAATGTATAGAACTCAAAATTTTCAAAAATTCTACTAATATAATCTGTAATAGTTTTTAAGAACTCCAATTTCTCAGAACTACATTTAAAAATTACACCAATAAAGATATAATCAAACCCTCACGTTCTTGCTGTGATGAGAGTACTTTTATTTAAAAGTGTGTTCTGTGATAAAGAAATGGTTGTTGTAAATGCCACAGTTATTTTTCTAATTGTCTGAATTTTGAATACCCAAAGTGTGAATTTTTTTATGGATTTTTGTTTTGGGTGCCATTCGAGAGATGACGCAGGAGTTTGGGTTACATACATAGATACTGGCATACACTCTACGTCTATTATAGTAAAATATGGGAAATAGTAAGGTGTTTCACCTCTTACCTGAGAGTCTTTGAGTCCCAGCTTTTCAGCCAGTTTCTTCCTGTCGGGTTTGCTTATATATTTCTGAATCTGGAATCTTTTCTCTAGCCCTTGACGCTGAGCGTCCGAGAAGACAGCTCGTCTCATCATACCTCGTCGGGGCTTACCACGAGCCGTAGCCCAAGGAAATGTCGCCGGAAGAGGAAAGGAGACACCAGAGCCGGAAGAAATCCCTGTAATACCATTAATGGTATGAAGACCATTGACTCCGTTAACAGGTGACACACCTGGTTGTAAAAAAAAATTGTTTTATTTCTTTGAAATTACAGATTGCTACACGTTCAAATACTGGTCATTAAGGAATGTTACTTGTCATTATTATGAATTGCTACACGTTCACATACTGGTGATTAGGAATCTTATTTGTTATTATTACAGATTGCTATACATTCAAATACTGGTTATTAGGAATGTATATTGTCATTATTGCAGATTGCTACACGTTCAAATATTGGTCATTAAGGAATGTTACTTGTCGTTATTATAGATTGCTACACTTTCAAATATTGGTCATTAAAGAATGTTACTTGTCATTATTATAGATTGCTACACTTTCAAATACTGGTTATTAGGAATGTTATTTGTTATTATTGCAGATTGCTACACGTTCAAATATTGATCATTAAGGAATGTTATTTGTTATTATTACAGACTGTTATTGTTCAAATATTGGTCATTAAGGAATGTTATTTGTTATTATTACCGATTACTACACGTTCAAATATTGGTCAATAAGGAGTGTTATTTGTCATTAATCTCTGTTTAGTGAATAGATTCAAAAAAGAAAAATTTATTTTGCGAAATATTCAACTTTACGAATTATGAACTATCTCAAAATTTTAGCGTGTGACATTATGTTTTTCAAACAACTTTATTGGACAAAAACAAGAGTTTGAAGTTCTTGATTTTTTCTAATTCAAAAACAAACATAGCGTCTCGTTGGTACTATTTAACAAACAAAGTTATTTCTGACAGTTAGTCAAAGAGAAGGCTTTAGAGAACAAAATAGATTATTACAAAACTCACTGGTTTTTACTTCGTTTATTAGTTAAGTTATATTTCTACACAGACTGTAAAAGACGTAGGCCTGTGGGTGAAATACTACACAATAAACATCAAATGCAGATAACAACGGTATGAATATATCGATTTTCCTTTTTTTATTTTGGAAGAATATTGAACATTCTCAAAATATCTCTAAGATTCATACACAAGTTTTTATTCTTGGTTATTCTAGAATAAAAATACACTTAAAAAATAGGCAACTACTCATTCCTTAGCGGGTACAAAAAAAGATAAAAGAATCACAAAAAAAACACATATTACATACAATAGAAGAAACGGTTAAAACATGATAAAACGTTTAGCTACCAAGCTTGGCACGTTCCTTTTTAATTTATTTTTATTGAACTATTTGAAGAGAAGCGTAACGGAGTATCATCTAATGTTTTAAGACTGTTTTGAAGTTTGTCTTTTTATTTATGCGCCGGTGAATTCTTTTGGGACAAAATAAATCGCTTGGCGATTGAAGCAAATAAAAGGTCAGAAATAAATAAATTTGGAAAGTATATGTTCTAAAAATAAACATATACGTACATCATTGTTTTAAATACACATGGTGTAACATTCACGAGTATCAAAGTACAGTGAAAATGTGTTCATTCTCACTTTTCACATTTCTTTGACAATGAATTAGAAAATCATATAGAAAATAGATGGCACAATTCATACGCAATAAACAATCATTTCGAACACCGTTGAGCAAAACAACTTTTTCGCAAGCGATACTTTATAAGGTTTAAGAACTTTTAAATATCATAAAGTTTATAAATAGGTTTAAGCAGAAATCCCTTCTTCACAATAACATGTATTCCATAGGGAATCATAGAAAATAGATGGCACAATTCATACGCAATAAACAATCATTTCGAACACCGTTGAGCAAAACAACTTTTTCGCAAGCGATACTTTATAAGGTTTAAGAACTTTTAAATATCATAAAGTTTATAAATAGGTTTAAGCAGAAATCCCTTCTTCACAATAACATGTATTCTTTAGCTTTATTGTTTTGTTTTTTCCGGAGACTAAACCAACGAAACGGACGTTTAGATTGCTCATAACATGAGTTATTAAGGTCTTTCAAATGTATTCTTTTAAATCTAATCAGTAATAAATATGCAGTTCCTTTTATCGACGAAATATTTCAAAACAGTTACCGTGAGGGCGTTTCTCTAATATTGCAGAAGTAATGTTATTGGTCGTTTTATGTTTGCACTTGACTGGAACAATTGTTTCATTTTTTTCGTTGTATTTAAAGCGCGCGCTTGCCAGCAAGAGCTTAAAATCGTAGCCAGAAGTAGCAAGTAACTCACCCGTGAAATATTGAGCTCTGCACGCTATTAGAGACTGTAATGGCGAATCCAAGAAGGAACGGGGTACGGGTTTAGCTACCATTGCGGATGTGTAGTTATAGCCTGAAAGGGATGTTGTGTAGGAACCTGAAAACAAAGCAAAATATTTATATGGTAATACTTGTTTCAAACAGATGTTACTTATTAAAATCAAAGTTTTAAGTTTATTTTAATCTCAGAATTAGACCTATAATGACGAATAAATATGCATATATATATATATAATTACTAAGATTTAAAATACACATACAATTATTAAGTTGATCGCCATTTGTTAAATGAAGCAAAACGTAAAATCTTTCGGAAGCAGATTTCTTTAACTAGAATATTTTAAAAAAGTGAAATGTATGATTTTCTTGTCTTACGCAGTTAAAATAGTCTTCTTTCTATAAAACGTGTTTCTGTTATCTTTTTAAGTATCCAGAAAAAAAAAGAAACATAAAATAAGTCATGTTATATCCCATTATACTTGTGTCAACAAATTACAGGTTATGGTTTTCAGAACTTTATATCCCATTATATCTGAGTCAACAGGTTACATGCTATAGCTTTCAATGCTTTATATCCCACCATATCTGAGTCAACAGGTTACAGGTTTTAGCTTTCAGTGCTTATCTTAATAGCGTGCTCTAACATTTAATTGCAACTTAAATTGAGTTATAAATATGTTTTTGTTAAAGTTACAAGATATTTCTCGCCGAACTTGAAAAGTGGTATTTCAACAGCAACCATAGTCAAATCAAATAAGATTAATCTTATGAAGGCACTTAGGAATTGCTGTTGAACTAACTTAATTATCCAAGAATTCAAACCTTAAATATAGAAGACCATTTCAGTCAATTGACTGACTTAACAGTATATTAAACAGTTCTATAAATAATTTAGTAAGAGTAGTTTCGAGTTTCTTCTAAATAGATTTTAAACCACCTAAGGTTAGTTTTTATATAGTTTGTTTGTTTTGAATTTCGCGCAAAGCTACACGAGGGCTATTTGCGCTAGCCGACCCTAATTTAGCAGTGTAAGACTAGAGGGAAGACACCACCCACGGCTCAAAGGGCGAACATGTTTGGTGGGACGGGGATTCGAATCTGCGACCCGCAGATTGCGAGTCGTGTGCCCTAACCACCTGGCCATGCCGGGCCTTTTTATATAGTAATCTAATATTACTGAGTTTTCTTAATTTCTCTTCATCTAGTATAATAGACTAATTTATCTAAAATTGAGACAATCTCATATTAATGAGAATCGAGAAGACTTTTAATTGCAGTTTGAAGAAACTTCGAACTTTAATAAAACTTACGATCCCGATTTTTATATTCTTGTTATTGCATCAAGAATATAGTGTTTATAGGAATCATTTAAGGAGCGGAATAAAAACTATGCAATTTACTTCACTGTCAATTTAATGTCTGAAGTGATTTTTACTTCACTGTAAGAGCAATGTCTAAAGTGATTTATTTATTTCTTGTAGCAACGTTTTTGTGGTTAAAGATCAGCTGGATATAGGTGTCCATAAATATAACAGTTTAGTAAAGTTATTTTCTTCTTCTTTGCGTGTTTCTCTTTACAGTTCTAAGTAATATAAAACTGAATCACTGTCAAATGGCATTGTTCCTGTTTGAAGTAAAATTATATTAGATCAATTACATTTTTAAACAATAACCTAACAATAGAAGTATACCACTGTTCGACAATATAATTTAAGATCGTTTGGTTATAGCCAATAACGCTGTCAGACGTTAGACAGGTAAAATACTAACTATAGTCACGTACAATCATGTAAATATTGCATATTAACGCGTTGAGTTAGAAGCAACTGATATTAATTAACACTAACAGAAAGGTATTTCACTGCAGAAAAATTGTGTTCTAAATAATGAAAACACAACAGATATTTTATTCCCCAAATAGAGCGTGTGAACTATTGAACTATAAAATAATTTACTGTTGTAGCGATACAAACACATGAGTTCTGTTTATCTGTTTGTTTGTTGAATTTCACGTAAAGCTATTCGGAAACTATCTATGCTAGCCATCCCTAGCTTTGAAGGCAGCTAGTCAACACCACCAACCGCCAACTCTTGAGAGACAATCACTGTTCCAATGCACCCATGGCCCCACAGTGCCGATCGTGATTTTTATTTTATTTTATTTTTGCGTGTATATCGGCGCTCGATCCAAACAGACAAATTCTTGTAAGTTTTCTAATAATACAAATGGCGTCACATTTTCAATTCAAAATTGTGTTTATTTAAAATACATTGTTGTGTTGTGAAGAAATATTTTTATAATATATATATATATATATATATATATATATACTACACACACTACTATTTAATTAAATTACTAAAAAGAAGTAACGTGTCGCACGACC